TATATGCATGTATGTATGTATAACAGTTTTATTACAAATAAAATCTTTTTCTGTTACAACAAACGCATGTGTATGTTCATGTATGCACACACAAATATTTGCAGTTAATTTGTCCTCGTTTTACTTATGAGAGTCGGTGGAATGCCTTTAAAGCGGTAGCGACAATGCATTTCTTTTTATGACTAGTAGGAATGTTTAACTGCAACCAATATGATTTTGTTACATAAATATTTAATTAAATCAGCGGTGTAAAAATAATTTTACGGCAGATAAAAGGCCAGTTATCTGAAAACTTATGACAAAAGCCAACATGTTACAGTGGTAAGGAATGTACATACCATACTTATGTATGTATTATTTATATTTACACACGTGTATTTATACACAAATTAAAGATTATTTGAGTTAAAATTTTGGGAGTTATAATCCGTACAAAGCTGCCGCACAACTTCATTTTTTTTTGTTAAGTAAAAGAATTATTTCGTTGTTTATATGAGTTAAAATACTTTATAGAAATATTGTATTCTATTTACCATATATCTACATTCAAATTATGTTTTGTTTATACTGTATTAAAAGCTGTAAGCAATTTTCAATAACTTTTCACATACCTTTCCTTTTTACCTTAAATTAAAGAGAGATAGACTGATAAATATATAAACGATCAGCATGCCCAGTCGATTTAGGCATATCTGTCTGTCTATCTGTATATACGCGAAGCAGTCCTTCACTTTTTGAGATGTCGATACCTGAAATTTTGCTCACGGCTTTTTCTCCCAAACAAGCTGCTCATTTGTCGAAACCGCCGAATCGGACCACTATAGCATATAGTTGCCTTAAGAACTGACAAGTTCTTCCATGGAAGGTTTTACTTTTGTGAAGGGTATATGAAGCTAACGCTTTTTCATGTTTTGAAAAAGTTTTTTTGGTTAGTTTTTTTGTGACAAAGTGTTTCAGGTATGAGTATTAAGCTGATTACTAATCCTATCGATTACTTCTTGTCTTATTGTATTGTGTCGCGAGAAATTCGAAAATTTGTGCTTTAAATTTCTGAGGCCTTTTCGATACTCGTTATCAGGTTCTTCAATCTGCACCAATCGATGTTAAGTTGGTATCAAGGTCAAAATTTGATTCAAAATCAGATCTTTCGGATAGTCAATTTAATATTTCGATTGGTATTTATAAACATTCCGATATACGCGTGATAATGGCAAACTATTTTGACAGTTTATGATAATAGTCGGCAATAATATTTGCTAATAATTGTTACTGCACTAAGGTTGGGTGTGAGATTTGTTGTCCACATGTAGACTATTCTTAGAGAGTTTTGATATTATTCTGACTATTTACTGTTCCATATATACACATACGCTACGCCTAAGAATTTTTCAAATTTATATTTGTGAAGTTGTCAGGAAGAAGGTGAGATGATTATTGGAGAAATTCCTTTATAATTATTTACCCTCGACGAGGCAGACTTTAAAACCGTGGTTTACCATCTTCAGCGATAAACGTAAATTATTTGATTTTGGAATTAGTGGAGTTAGCGAATTGAGATGTGCTCCGCGCATTCCATCGATACATATTCTTTACATTTCAAGAGTTACGGCAAAATCAGGAACATTATTCAAACTTTATATAACGGAGTTTAACCAAACAAACAAAAAAAAAAAAAACAGACCACACAATTTAAACAAAATTTTTTTTTGGTTCTGTACTAACATACTCATGTTTCGCAAGAAGTTTTAGCCGCACAGAATGAGTTAATGGTTTTCAGAGCTCACCATGTAGGTATGTATACAATACAAACACCCCAATGGACTTTCTCGATAGTTGTTCTGAAATTTATCTCCAAAATTTTACAAAATACTCTGTCCAATATACCATATACGGACCCTGCTCTCTTGTTAAAAATGAATACTAGAAAGTGCAGTTATTCATTTGAATTTAATGTTGGAAAACATAATTATAAGTAGATCCCACAATATACTTAGTTAGTCTATATCTATTAGTCATGCCAGTTTCTTGAAAACCGGAAGATATGTTAAATGTCGTTGAATATATGGTAGACAATATCAAACGCTCATTTTTTAAGCGGCACACCTAGTGTGACAGCCTAAAGAAAGGGCGTATTTCTCTACTAGAAGATATTGTCCGTATAATGATCTATTGTCTAGCTATCTATGATCAGAGTTGAAATTAATCTAAAATTTTAGTCATTTTTGGTCTGCCAAAATCGATTTTTGATCATATCAAAGGCTAGTAAGTCATGGTATGGAGAACTATAGGTGTACGAAACATGCAAAATGTGATAGTGATCAAGTCATTTGTCTCCGAGTATCACTGTAACCAATTGAAAAAATGCTGTTTAGAGAAAAACGCGTTTAAAAATTAACTGATGACGGTATATGAACTAAGTGGCTAAAGAAAAAGGCTGTAACTCGAAAACTATTTGAAATATCGATTTAGTACGTTTTCTAAAGGTATAGATGTGCGCCTTAATCGACAAACTATAGGAAAAGCTCTAGCTGTCTTTATACCATATTATTATTTCTTTTGCTCCTTATCCTAACAACAATCCTTGTTATATGACGTATAGGCAGTCGGTTTTGCCAACATTTTGGACAGAATATTTTATTTACCTTTCTTTATTGCCAATTTGCCTCAATTTAAAACCCATTTAAATATTTATTTAAAATTCAAACATTAAATATAGATATATTTATGTACATACATATGTACATACATATATACTTACATAAGTATAGACTATTTGTGCTAACACAATACAGGCCATTATCGAATTGTAGCCTAAAAGTTTGTCAACTTTTACAAATATCTTTCAATATCACTCCAGGCGTTTTCTAAACTTTCCGTTGTCTTTACACAAGACATACACATCTCCTCCCCTCGATACCCTACAATTTCAAAAGACTGCAAACTAAAATTTTCGATGCCCCCGAGAGTTGCGCTTTATTCGTTCAAAAATCAAATTTTACAAGAAATACTAGTTGTATGTGTACACAAACATACATAGATACATACACATATATGTATGTGCATTTGCTTGTGTTGGACGGTTTAATAATTGCCGTTCATGCTGATTCTGATAGCACAACATAGAATTTGTTATCAACACCACGCTTTGCATCATCACAACTCTGTCGACCCACACTGCACCAGCCCATATTATCAGCAACAAAAGCAGTCATCTGTATGTGGGAGAGCACAAATGCACCAGAGTAAGAGAGCAATAAGGCGGTAAGAGTGTGGTAGATCCAAAAACAAAGCCTTACAAGTGGGGAGGATAGTGTTGATTGCTTTTGTGGGCGATGGAAAACCGCCCGCAATTGGATACCAAAGTGAATAGGAGGGTGCAGAAAACGCAGGGTTCCAGTATCCACAATCCACAAATAAACATTGGAGCACGCTGAGCTTGAACATATCCAAAAGAAAGAAAATAAATGAAACACAGCAGTACTGCAAACACAAATCAAACGCAAACGGGAAAGAAAAGTCATTGGCTCAACGAGGCCATTCACGTTTTGGAAGTGATAAGAAAAGAGAGCGTGAGAGCGCCAAACAAAAACAAAGCGACGCGACAGAGAACCGGCATTTGTTTACATTTTTTGCCGATGGTTGAAGCAAATGTTTTGATGAATTGATAAGGCGCTGCTGGGTTAAAACAAAAACCGGCTCAGGATGTGTGAGACATGCACATGTACATACATACACAAACATACATACACAAACATACATACATATGTATGTAGATATTTTAAATGTGTGTTCAAATAATATCTGATGCGATTTTATAAACACGACTACAAAATTCTGTTGAAGCCGGGTAGGTGTGCATGTGTGTGTTTATATGCATATTTGTACATATGTATGTTTATATACATACATATCAACACGATATGCAGAAACAGAAGACCATCGGTCACAAATCGAATTCATTTACTTGCATACATACATATGTATGTAAAAATATACATTTGTATATGAGTATGCATTTATGTAGTGAGCTTATTTATTTGTTTTCCTTGTTGTAGAGTAAGGAAATGCAACCATATGAAAGCAGATTTTTCCTGCTTTGCACTCATCCTCGACGAGCTGAATTTTTGTTAGGCTTCGCTTTATTACTACAATCATACGCTATTGCCTTTGCTAGTGTACAGTTATTGTTTAGGTAGTAAATAGCGTCCTCCCCAGTGTTGCCAATAGGCTAGGGCTTAAAGTATCCCTAAGGCATCTGAAATTGTGGCCCCTACATACATATTTGAAAGAAACAAGAAAGTCATTCACTTAAAATCAATACAAGCGATTGTGTGGATATATAAGTTGGTTGTTCAGCTTCGTTGAAATTTTCGTTTTGCTTTCGGTTTATTTTGATTCAGGTTTTGGTTTTCTTTTATTTTCTTTTTATTAAAAAGAACAAAATAACCATTAACTTGAAAAGAATTGGAAGCCTCTAAAATATAAGGATAAACAAAGAAAAGTTAACTTCGGCTGCACCGAAGCTATTGTACCCTTCACAAATGCACTTTTTATAGCATAAAATTGTATAAAACGATATTTATTTTGATTTCGATCAGTCAGTTTTTATGGGAGCTATATGCTATAATCGATCCGACAAATAAGCAGCTTCTTGGTAAGAAAAGGACGTGTGCAAAACTTCAAAGTGATATCTCAAAAACTAACGAACAATCTCGTGCATATACAGGCAGACGTACAGACAGACGAACATGGCTAAATCGATTCAGTTCGTCACGTTGATCATTTACAAACCCTGTTCGGGGTATAAAAATTCCCATTCAGGTGAACCCCGCATGTACTTTCTCTGTGCAAAACAGCAACACTGGTTTTAGTTGCCGGCTTTTCTAGAGTTTTACATAAGTACAGTGTGTTAAATTGTGTTATATATGATACACATTTTTTAAATGATATTTTTATTCGAAAAATATTTATGCCAGTTTTTACAATGAATTATATAATTTTAGTGGTACAAGGTATCGAACTTTTTGGATATAGAATAAAATTCCTATTATATTAACTTTCAAAGTTTTTATTTATTTAAAGAAGAATCCATTGAACTCAATACAATATTTGGAATAATCATAATCAGCGAATGCATTTTTATGTCATTTATAGGATATCATTTATAGGAATGTTCTTCAGCGCCTTGGTTACGGCTTTTTGTAAAGGTTGGGATATCTTCATAAAATGCTCTTTTCAAGTTGACTTTCAGTTTTGGAAATAGAAAATGACCACATGGTGATAGATTAGACAAATGCGGACAGTGGTTAATGAGAAAAAACTATTTTTTCATCAAAACTCGTTCACTTTTTTGGTCTTCATTTAATTCGTATGGACGCACGGACCCTTCTTTTACGAAAGTCTTCAGTTAAAATTTTCCAAATAATGTCTTTACTCGTATTAAATTTCTCAGCAAACATTATCGTAGTAAAATTTGTATAGATACCATTAATTTCAAAGGTTTTTCCACTAATTCAGCACGATTACTAGTTTCTGGACGACCTGGTCCTTAGTCGTCATTTAAATCCTTACGACCATATTTAAATCGATAAACCACTTATAAAATTGGGTTCGACTCATAAAATCATCGTTATGAGCTGTTTCCTCAATTTGCATATCTCACGGGATTTTATCAAGTTTAACACAAAATTTTATAAGTGTTCGCACTTTATAAAAAAAGTTTAACTGCACGCTTGTATTGAAATGGCTGTAACTTTAACATCTGTCATCCGATTTACAAAAAGGTGCGTTTGAAAAAGGATGAACGTTTTCTTTAAATGCTGCAAATTAATTAACAAACAGATAACAGATATGTGTTAAAATGATATTATTAATTCATTATTGTTTATGTTTAATTTTGTACCATCCCTCAAGAGTAAGTACCCTAATAAACTTTTTTAAAAAGCTTTTTTTTATATATTTGAAATTTGCTTTTAAAGGGGTAGGTCGAGAGCCGTCAGAGAAGGCCTAACTTTTGATTTATCATATTACTATGATCTAAGTAATTTTTCTATTCAAATTCATATTATTATTCATGTACACATATCTTTTAAACCATAATTTTTATTATTGTACATATTTTATAAAATGTGTTCCAGTTTCAGTGTTTGTTCCCTTTTGAGACTGTTTTGAAAGACATATTTTACTATGAGTGACACACTGTGCTTTAGCAACGCCGCTATCGCTACAAATGCATATTTCAACACATTTCCACAATCCGCTCAAGATGTATTTGCCTAGTTTGTCTCTCTTGCGCTCAGAAATGCACTTCACACATATTGTTCTTTGTGATAACATGCGCAATATTTGCATAACAACAGTTAGCGCGACGTCCAAATGCAGCGTTTGCTTTCAACTCCACATCTCCATTCCATTAAATTTCTGATTTTGCTTTTGCCGCTCTTTTGCTGCAGTTTATATGTATTTTGTAGTGCAACGGTGCATTTGCTCCCAACTCCCTCGCGCTGTAGTTGCCGGCGCTGGCGCTTTGCTATTTGCTCTTCTTATCAACTCCCTCCCACTCGCTGAGCAAGATTTTGCTTTGCTTTCCAACGCGCTCTCACTTAATTACGAGTGCCGGTGTTTTTGTGTAAAGTTCGGAATTGTGGTGGAGTTGTGGAACTTATTCGTATATCTTCAAATATAATGCTGTAATATTTACTAGTGGCGCATCGTTATAAGCACATTTTTAGGTTATAAGCTCTTTCATTAAAAATTATTTTTAAATTCTTTCAAATCCACTAAACACTTATGGCTTTGTTATCACGATTTTCAAAGCCGCTTTGGAAGTTTAAAAGCTTCCGCAAGTAGAGCTTAACGCACACATTCACTTGTCACTTACATTCCACTGCCTCCGGCTTCCAGCCACTTCATTGCTGTCTCCGCTGCGTTTGTTTTGCTTTGCGTTTTCGCTTTGTTTTTGTGTCTTTGTGCTTTTTCTCCGCTTTCTGGCAGTTGCGGCACTCAACTGAGTAACTGAGGCGCGTAGCGTCGCGCGGATTGAATTTTTAGCAGTTCACCTCGTCGGTCTGCTGGTTTAGTTTGCCGCAAATATTGTTTGAAATTAGTTGTGTTCGTTTTCGTGCGTTCGATGTCGCAGCGGTCGACAAAAACGGCGTTCGCGTAAAGTGCTAAAACAGTTTTAACACTTAAAGAACGCAAGGAAAAAGTAAAAAAAAATCGCGAAGAAATCTAAATTGAAATTTTGTTCAAAGTTCGTTTTTGTTGTTGCGCATGAAAAGTTGTTGATATTTGTGTGTCCAATTGTGCAATTTATTAATATTTCAGACCAAAGAGAGCAACAGGAATTATTGCGAAAATTATCAAAGTAAGATCGACCATCTTTGTTCGTTTGTTTTTGTTATTATATTTTGGTTTGTGTGAAAGTTTCACTTCGGAAATTAAAAGATGCAATGCTAAGCACGTTCTGAACCAGCAAGGCGATAAAGCAGCGTATGTTTGTACGTGTGTGTGTGGCTCGAGCGTTTCGGTCTGCGCTAGTGATTGTGCGAAAACTTTCAGACAGTTTTGCAGAAAGTTCAGCTTGTGTGAGTTTTTGGTAGGCGTGCTTTGCAAAATAAAATGTCAAGTTCAAATTGAATTCAAATCAATTATTCAAACGTGAGCAGTGATTAAGTGAATTTTGAAGTAAAGCATGTTGAAATAAAAGCGACATATTAACATGCATACATACCTACATATCTACATACAAAAATTAATTGTATTAAACACAAAAATATATATAAAATATATATATTATGTATGTAGGTATATAAAAAAACATAGTGCGTTAATTATTTTGTATAAAATGTCGCAGGTTTTGATTTTTTACACCAATTAAATGAGCTATCAATAATTAAACGCTGTATGTCCAATAAAGACGATCCAATGATTGCCAAAATATTTGCAGTTGTTGTTGTTTTAAATTCAATAATGCGTGTCATTACAGTCTTGGGTGTTTTAAATGCGGGTCATAGACCCTATTGTTGTGAACATGAGCAAAGAACAATTTTTTAATATCGTTAAACAGTTAAACTAAAACGAATTTTCCTGAAAGTAAATTTATCCATAAAAGTTATGTGGCCCAACTATTTGGATATAAATTTCTTTAAAAGAAATATTGTATTTTAAATGTATATTTAACTATAGACATAAAGCTCGAGAAAGGTAACTGGCTTGCACTTTTTCAATGCCAAATTCTTAATATTTTTTTGAATAATTAAGGTGGAGTAGGGTTATTTCGTGTAAAACCAGGCCTTTTTTATGAATTTTTTTATGAAACAAGTAAAACATATTTTTAAAAACCAATAGTACGTTATAGAAAGTTTCTGTGAAATGTTTAAAGAATAATCTAATAAAATAGAAACATTTTAAATAGTACCGCAATTGCAGCAATTACTCTGGTATACGTTGAATTGCGGTGCCTCTCAAAACTCGGCGCTAAATCATCTAAAGTACAAAAATTTTAATTATATTGTTCGATGCCCCTCAGTGTTATCTCGTAAATTATGTGGATATAACCCATGCAAAATTTGGTGAAAATATCTTAAAATGAAAAAGTTTTTTATACAAGCACTTGCTGTCAATCGTTCAGTTTGTATAGTGGCTATATGTTAAAGTGGTTCTATTTTGGCGGTTTCGACAAACCAGCAGTTTCTTGAAGAGAAAAGAACGTGTGAAAAATTTCAAATCAATATATCGTATATACAGACAAACACACGGACATGGCTAAATCTACTCAGCTTTTCATGCTTTTCATATATATATATAATATATAAGGTCACCAATGTTTCTCTCTAAGTGTTACAAACTTCGTGGCAAACTTAATATACCTTGTTTAGGGTAAAAAAAACTTATACGAATTAAACAAAAAATTAAAAATTAATTAAATAAAACACCTCTCCCCTCCTTAAACATAAACAATGTTGTTGTGCAAATTTCATCTTCTAGTTGCTCATATAAGCTTCAAGGTCGTATGACTTAGTTTGAAATATTTTCTTATCAGTACGCTTTTTTTTATATAGTGAGCTATTCATATTTAATTCTCCTTTTTCACATAATTTATGTGTCTATAGGTAATAGTGGGTGCCCAGTCGGTTAGGTACTAGTTCTAAATCTATTAAAAAAACATTTATTTTTAATAGTCGTTGGTTTTGTATGGTTGTCGAAAGGGGTCGTAAGTGTTCTGGGTGAACTTATTCATGGTAAAAACAAACGGATTTTAAAAATAAATCATCCTTACTCTTTTCTTTGTTGAGGGTAGAGTGAAAACTTTTGAGGACACATGAATTTTTAAATAATTTTTTGAAAACGCATCATTGATTCGGAAAAACCTTTGTCCATTATATATGGCAAAATAATGAATTTAAATATTGTAAAGGTCAACAAAAAAAGAATAGACACTTCGGCTACTCACAATTTTAAAGCACTTGAATAAAGCAAGTTTGCCATTAAAACAACTTTCATACATTTTAACTAATGAATCTTACCACGGTTTCAGACCACCATTGTCGATAAGATTAGATTAAGCATTTTAAACTTGTATGTATTTTGTCTTTCGATGTTATTTTCAGGTGTTCGGGTCCACGGTGGACCTATGTACCTATATCACGCATATACATCCTTAAATACGTGTATTAATTTTTTATATAAATATTCTATTTATGAACAACAAATCAGTCCGTATATAGTAAATAACTGAAATGTTTCATAATTTATATAAAAATTTAATACTTTTTAAAATTGCACAAGATTCGATATTAACTGTGTAGTTCGATGGACTTTTGTTTCGTACTGATTATGTCAGATACTATTAGCGGGGTTATTCTGTTATCCCGCTATTTTTATTTGATATCAGCTGTTCAAAATTCCCTGATCTCTATCGCTACCAACTTAATCAGGGTACGCGTTTCAGAGAAAAATGAGAGTCTCATATCATGTTATTCTTGCCGGAACTAAGCCTGGTTTTTAATCGGTTAAAAAGTGAAATAATATTCGTTTAAACTGTTTGGGCAATGTTTAAAGCCATTTCAATAACTAGCAGTCGTCCTATTTGAGATGTAGCAAAATTAGTAAATTATTATTAGCGGGAACCTGAGAAGGTTATTCACTACATGGTCTCTAGATCTTTTCATCGTAACCGTTTTTGATAGCCTTTTTCTTAACGCTTGATAAGGGTATAAAGAAACAGTTGACAGGGTGAACGCTCAGGAAATATCAACCACTGGTTAGTGGTTAGATTTTATACCGAGAAGCTCAACGCTGAATCAGATATTGATTAACCTATTATTCCTGAATAATGAAAATGTGGAAAATCTTGAACTATCCGCATCAGTAACTGTTGCTAAAAATACACATTAGCTAGAAAATAACCTAAACTATTCGATGCTTGAAGCAATGCTCCGACACATAGAATCCTTTAAAAATAAAATAATATTATTTTATCAATGCTTGCTTCATATGTAAGAACCCACAATATATTTGAACTCATTTGACACCCCATTAAATATTTCTTAATTAAAACAAAACTATAATTTGTAATGTGACCGTTAATAACTTCAAACGTGTTGTAATAGTAAATATTTACTCTCAGATCACCTTGCATTGGGCCTGTTGTTGGAAAGTAAAATTACATAAGCGTGTCTACATCAATAATTGAGCTTTAAAAACCTGCAGAAAAGAAAAGCCACTATCAACTCATCACGAAAGTGCAAAACCTTTCTTAAAGAAATGCTTAAATTCTTCCGCGAGTGAAAACACATTGGGAATATATAATAAGCTAGATAGAGTGCACTGTGAAATTTTGTTTACTTTAAGTCACGTGCTCCCAAGAATAACTTGTCGTAGCTCAAACTGACTGTCTATCAGTCTGACTGTCGTTGAAAGTGTGCTTTTAATTGTTCACGCATTGTTTGTTGTATCGTTTGATTTATCAATTAATTGTTCACTTGCCAAGGTTTACACTGATAGTTCGCTTATGTTGTTGTGCGACGAAGAGAAAATTATTTCGAATTTCACCGACTTTTTCGGACGCGTTGAATTTGTAAATGTATTAAATTATGGTTTTAGTTATTTTAAGCTTATACAAATATGCATTTTGAATTCAATTAGGAAACTTATTGCAAAATTTTCGAATTAGGAGACTAGTGAATTGAAAGTGAGAAAATAAGTTTTTTTTGTAGTAAGAAAGTCATTTGAAAAGTAAAAGTTTTTTAGCTTTCGTCTAGGTTAGCGTTGAGTGATTTCCTGAGCTTCGTACATATATAAATAAAATCTGTCGGATTTGTCCAAGCGAAGGAAATAGGTAATGAAACTGACTCCTTTACAGTAATTTCGTGTAAGTTGGACAATATTGTTTTTCAATACGTTAAGTTAATCGGAGCTGCTGATCTTAACAGCTATTTTTAGCATAATTTCTTTTTTTAGATTAAAAGCTGAAGTTCGAAGTAAAGTTCTATCTCTAAGAATTGGAGACAAAAAAAATTTTAGGCCGTTTGAAATACAGATTTTTCCGTGAAATTTTTTTTTTTTTTAGAAATTTTCGAAAGATTTATTTTTTAAAGTTATTAGATTTTCAGTTTCTTTTGCTTTTACTTTTTTGATAAATATGTCGAAGAAATGATGTCATCGAAATTTTTGTTTTGCTTTGTCAGGAAATCTCTTGGGTTTTAGACTTACTGACTATTGTAGCGTTGTTTACGCCGAAGTTCCCGCTATTAAGGTAGCGGTAGATTTACTTGTTGTTGTTGTTATAACGATTATCTAATCCCCGTTTGGGTGATAAATTCTAGATTCGTTGTCGTCGAGGTCATCTAACGGAAGGCCCAGGAAACGAGCTGTTTCGACGGGGTCGGACCATAGGGAAAGGGGTGTTAGATGAGTGGGGTTTGTAGGGCATGCAAAGAGGTGGTTAGTGTCATGCGGAGACTCATTGCATGCAGGACATGTGTTTAGTATGTCGGGGTCTATTCTGGATAGGTAGGAGTTTAACCTGCTACAGTATCCAGAACGAAGTTGCGCGAGGGTCACTCTAGATTCGCGAGGCAACTCGAGCTCTGTGTCTGCAATGGGTGGTGGTTTGACTCGTATTACGCCATTCACTGAAAGGTAGTCGGTGAAGGTGTTAATGGCTCCACTGTGAATGGCGGTCAGTGCTTGTCTGAAGTTAGTTGCGTCCGAAGTCTGGTCGACGTGCTGTCTGATGTCGTCGACGTAGTCAAGGAAGGACCTCTTGATGTTCCTAGGAGGCTGCTCCGCTGCAAGCAGGCGTCTGCAGGGGTGGTTTCTGCGAAAACATCCCAGCAGAAACTGCTTGGAGAGGAGCTCATT